CTCTCTCTCTCTCTCTCGTAAATAAAATCCATAACAAAATACTCGCCATTAGTTTAGTAGTCAAGCAGTTGTTGTTCATAGAAAACACTGACCGCACGTATAAACAGTAATCATAAGTGCGTTTATTTTCCACAGATATAACAATAATTAATTAACGAAAATGACTGATGGTTACAAATACATGTACGTAACTTACCATGATAAGCGCAATATACGGGACATCGCCATCGCTATACCACCCAATGTCTTGACTGCCAAACATCTCAAGTGTTTACTTGAGATAAATGGTTTGTTCAATCCGATGAGCGAGGTGCTTTTGTTCACTGATAGTTGCAATGTGCGCGATGTGGCCTACCCCGATGATTATAAATTTGCCGATTTATACAATACTAATAAACATCGGTATATATTCATTACGAAAAGAGCTGAACCATACGTGAACTCACAAACCTCAGGGTATGTATTGTTTGGTCGCTTACTTTTCATTGTGTTAGAAAATAGTATTTATTAATAAAATGTTTGTTTGAATCTATAGTCCGAGTGAAGAGTCGGACCGAAAGTGTCGTGAATTGTGTGAAGAGATGTCGGCTCTGAAGGCAAGCAATGAGTCCGAAGTGAAGGCATTGGAAGCACAGCTCAAGTCAGCCATCGATTCAATGCAGACAATGGAGAAAGAAATCAATGATTTAAGACAAAAGTTTTTAAATTCTGATAAGAGGTATAAAAGAGCTGAAATAATTGTTTAACTTATGAATGTTTTGTCTATAATTTACACTCAATTTATTTTGTATATTCTAATTAAAGTTTGAGTGAAATGTCACTAAAAAACAGTGAATTGAGTGAAGAGTTGTTGGCATTGAAGGCATCCAAACATATCATTGAATCCGATGTCAAACAATTGCCACAAGAAATGAATGCACAGAATATTAGGTGATTTTAATTGTAATTTTATAGTAAAAATTCATGATTTATTAATTTGTATTTTTATATCAAATAGTTGTTCAGCGAGTGTTCCACAGGACATGTCCTCCAGTTGTTCATCGATCGGATCCCACAATCAATTGACCACTAATTCAGACAAAACCAGAGATCAGATCAATAATCAGGAGATAATGACTGAAATGAGGGATCAAATCAAAGATCAAAACAGATTAACAAACGATTTATTGAATGTTTTATTGAAAGAAAAGGAGGAAATGTTGACAGAAATCAAAGTAATCAGAGATGATCTGAAAAATGTCAACAGACAGATGAGTTTTGGCTTACGTGTTTATTGTAATTAATGCCATAGTTATTAACACGTGTCCAACTAAATGATTATCATTGATATTTATTTTTAACCACAATTCAGTATGAATAATGTGGTTT